AATGTGGCTCCCTTCTACGATTGGATTGAAGACTTATACAAACGCGCAACATATGAACAACATACATATAAACGCAGACTCGCCATGGACAAGTTCAATGATATTTGGAATCCATTCTTACAAATACTGTACAGTGGTGCCTCGCAAGACGAAATTAATCCGTTCCGCGAGTCTCTTCGTCTTGCGGTTTTTTCGTCTTGCGAAGCACGGCTATTAGCGGCTTAGCGGCTATTAACAGCTTAGCGGCTTAGCGGCTACTAACGGCTTAGCAGCTTAGTGGCTTTAAGAAAAAGGAAACAAACTCGCAAGAACTCGCAAGATGTTCGCAAGATGTTTCGTCTTGCGAAGCAAGCCCATAGGGAAATCCTTCTTGCGGAACGACTCAAAAAAACGCAAAACCCTTTCGTCTAGCGAGTTTTTCGTCTTGCGATGCATTTGTCTTGCGGGGCACCACTGTAACAGGTTAAGATCTGGTGAAGTACAATACAGTGGTATCTTGGGTTACAGACGCTTCAGGTTACAGACTCTGCTAACCCAGACATAGTACCTCGGGTTAAGAACTTTACCTCAGGATGAGAACGGAAATCGTTCTCCGGCGGCAGCGGGAGGCCCCATTAGCTAAAGTGGTACCTCAGGTTAAGAACAGTTTCAGGTTAAGAACAGACCTCCAGAATGAATTAAGTTCTTAACCCGAGGTACCACTGTAACAACTTTGTATAGTATGGTTTTGGGTTTTTCCCTTCCCCCCTTTACTTTCCCTTCTACGTGGATGCTGTTTCCCTTTTTCTTTTTCTGTCTTTTCTTTACGTCTCACCAAGTTTAGTGCACATATAATTATGTACTTTTCAACTTTCAATAAAGTTGTCTGGAAAAAAATAAAAATAAAAATGAGTGACTCGCTCTGTGCTATTTCAGAAACACCAGCTTTCACACCTCAGCCACATGGTCCCATCACTCTCCAACCACAGAGGTTTCCTGGCTGGTAGGCTGGCAGCTTTTGCATGTAACATTTTACGCCGGATGGAGGATTTGCCAAATAAGGGAGAAAACGGTGAGTGCAATTGGAAATGACCAATACAAAAACTTTTAAGTTTTGTAACATATATTTGTGGGTAAGAGGAATAAAAAGGATCGAATATTAGGCTTATTCCATACAGTGGTACCTTGGTTCTCAAACGTCTTGGTACTCAAACAACTTGGAACCCAAACACTGCAAACCCAAAGTAACTGTTCCGGTTTGCAAACATTTTTCAGAAGCTGAACGTGCTCTGTTTTGAGTGTTATGCTTCCGATTTGAGTGCCACACTTCCGTTTTGAGTGTTACACTGAGGTCTGTCTGTTTTTGCTATTTATTTTGTGTTTTTAATCTTGCTCTTCTTTTTGGTTTGTTTTTGTGACTGTATGGAACCCAGATCAGCTACTGATTGATTGATTGTGTGATTGCAGTACATTATTGCTTTCATTTTATGGATCAATGGTCTCGTTAGATAGTTAAATTCATGTTAAATTGCTGTTTTAGGGGTTGTTTTTAAAAGTCTGGAAGGGATTAATCCATTTTGTATTACTTTCTATGGGAAAGCGAGCCTTGGTTTTGGAACACTTTGGTTTTGGAACAGACTTCCGGAATGGATTAAGTTTGAGAACCAAGGTACCACTGGACATGGAATCTTATCAGAATCTACAACCTCTACTGTAACAAGCAAAATCCTGACTTTTCTCAAATACCTTGGAGCATAACATGGTTTTTATGTAATGCTTCTTAAATTGACACTTAGAGCCTTCCTTGATCAATAGTTTTAACAAATGTCCTTAAATTCTATTGTCACCTCTTATTCAGAGCTGTAAATGAGGAATTTTCTTTTGCTTCTCAGTAAATCTAATAATTCGTTTAACGCAATTTTTGGAAGGAAGAATTCCTTTTAAAAAATGCTTTATTGGTTAAAAAAACAAAAGACTAAATCAAACAATATACAGCAATCAACAAAAGGCAATCCAAAATTAACACTCATTAAGTACCAAAAAGAAAGAAACAAAATTAAGTTCATCCGTTGCTAATTCTAATATGACTTCTGGTCTCCTCACTGTGGTTCCTAAGTTTCCTTTCACTGTTCACTTAATTTTCTCTCCTAAATTCTCTATCATTTCAATTCTATAACAATCTTTTATTTCATGCAGAAAATCAACCCAAGCCTGCCAAAGAACTGGTATTACAAAGAATATTACAATGTTCTTCTAAAAAAATCTCTATAAATATTCCACTCTCTGTGGAATATTTGATCTGTAGGGTCTCAGAATCTTGCTGTTAATCTTGCTAGTTCAGCATATTCTAACATTTTACTTTGCCAGTCTAGTTTTGTGGGTGTGGGGTCTCCTTTCCCTATTTTCGCAATTACGATCCTAGATGCTACTGTCGCATAGATGAATATTTTCCTTAATCCTTTTGGGATTTCATTATTCATTATGCCTAGTAGGAAGCCTTCAGGCTTCTTTGGGAAGGAACATTTAAACATTTTTTAAAAGTTCATTGCAAATTATTTCCCAAAAATCCCTATTTTTTTTAGTTCCACCACATGTGGATCATGGTGCCTTCCACCTCCCCTCATCTCCAACAGACGTTCAATTTAGCTTTATACATTTTAATAAGTTTTACATGTGTTGAATACCATCTGTAGAGCATCTTCATGCAGTTCTCTTTCAAATCGTAAATTTAAGCTGTAAATTTAAGGTCCTCCCTCCACAGCCTCTCCCATGATTCCATCTGGATGTTGTAGCCAAAGTCCCTAGCCCATTGCACCATAACAGATTTCACTTCTTCCTCCTTGACCTCCCAGTCAAGAAGTTTATACATGAGAGCGTTTTATTTGTATTGTCTTTTTCCAATCTTGAGAGTTCTATGGGGAATCCTTTGTTTATCCTTTTGAAATGTTTCATTTAGCTGAAAATACTGGAACCAGTCAGTCAGATGTGTCCTAATTTCTTTTTTTAAAAATTTAGTTGTTTTCTTTTTCTTCCAATAGATCTTTATAAACTGTCCAATTACTTCTGGTTTTTTTTCTTGGCTGAGAACGCTTCCCTGCCCCAGCCATATCCATCACTCACCCTCCTTTTTGCCTTCTAGAGATTCTACCTTGCTGGAGTGAGTCCTTAAACTGTGCTGAGGCATCTTGCTTGCATGGATGAAGCATGGTGTAGTCTGGCCAAAGTGCTTTGCCCCTGTCATGCAGCCCCCCCAAATTACCCATGAGAAAATGTATCTCATGGAGTAAATAGGGTTCCCCACTAGCAATGACTCAGAACACACACCTGGTGAACAGAGATCTAGCATTAAATTGCAGATCAGGAGAGTTGCTGGAAATGTATTTTTTTCATATGCTCTGAAGCACCAATTTCCTTATCAGTTAACAACTTCTAGGGTTAACTAGGTCTTTCAAAATGAGCTCTCAGGCAGTCTTGGATAAATCCTGTCTTAAAACAGGCCTATTCTGTTCCCCAGCTGCAGATGAGACAGAAACCAAAACTACTGCAAGTTGTATTTGGCACTATGCAACATCTGAGTTTTGACCTAGAAGTCCTTAAACAGCTCAAGGCCGACGACTGCCTTTCCCTATATGAAGCAACCCGGGAACTGAGGTCATCCTCCGAGGCCCTTCTTCTTGTACCTCCTCCATGAGAGGTCGGGAGGGTGGCAACCTGAGATGGGACCTTTTCTGCAGTGGCTCCCGTTTTGTGGAATGCTCTCCCCAGGGTTCCACTGGAGCCTTCGTTATTTATATTTAGGCGCCATGCAAAAATATTTCTTTTCAAACCGGCCTTTAGCTAATTGACATCTGATGCCATTTGAAATGTGTTGTTTAATTTGGTTCTGGTTGTTCTGATTTTTACTAAGTATGTTGTGGTTTTCCCATTTTAGTTTTATGTTGTGCACCTCCCTGATATTTACAGATGAGGGGAGGTATACAAACCAACCAGCCACCGTTAGCCCTCTGGATGTCATGCAATCTTCCCCATGCTATGCCCTTCATTTTTGCCTGGATGGAGAATAGAAAGGAGCGTACAAGTGTGTGCAGAAACTAGGCTACCGTACAGAAGTACAATTTACTTGTTGCTCTGCTACTTTTCTCTCTATTCCCAGGTGCAACAGATATGTGGCCCGAAAGGGGCTTGCAAGAGGAACTGGAGCCAATGAAATTAGCGTTTAGAACTCTTTTAAAAAAACAAAAACCAGCCACATCAACCTTAGTGTGGTCTTAGTAACACTTTATACTTTCTGGCCATTTAGAATGAGCCATGCTAGAGTTTAATGTTTGCCTCCCTGGTAGATCGCAAGTCTCTTTAGATAGCAGACTCCACTGAAATAGTGTGTGATATCAGAATCAGTATGTGATGCCAAGGATCACATGCTACTTATTCCAGCAGAATCTACATAGGATGTCTCTATTCCATATGCTTGATAAAACGTGTCAACCGCATTAGAGTGTTTCTTCAACTCTGTCGCTGTAATGAGAGCAGCAGGGTCAGATTGTACATGGAACAGTCCCAATTAACCCAACTCCCAAGTTAGCAATGAACATTCTCTCTTCCTCCTTTAAGCCCATGGATTTCACACTGGAGAGTCTGCAAATGTCCTGGGGGCTGTTTTGTGAAACATATTGAATTTGGGTGCTAGTTCTTGTGTTTTTCTGCAGATCTTTTAACTCTGGAATTTTAAAGAGCAGTGTATCAAGTTTATCATCTTGTTAAATCTTCAAACTGTTGGCCATATATTCTACTGGTATCCAGAATAGCTATTAGTGATTACTGAAAGCACCCCATTATTTTTTTGGATTCAATTTGAGATTGATGAAGAGGAGACCAACAAGCTGACTGAAGATCACAACACCTCCTCTCTCGAGAAGAGCACACAGTCCCTGCAGAAGACAGGTAGCTGCTCCCCTCTAAGGAACAATGCTGCTTAAACAGTAGTCTGCCCATGCTTCCCTTTGGAAAAAAGAGGACACCAAGAAGAAAGAACAGTTCAGTCCTTTATTACAATCCACGGCCAAGATTTCAAGCATGAATGGTTCATTTCAGCTCTTTCACAGCCAAACCTAAAGAGAAGGGAGAAAAAGAGGCTGAGAAACTGAAGAGACAGATTCTGATCTCATTACTTCTGCTCATCAGGCTGGCAAACCCTCAGAGGTTTTCATCTATATCCCAGATACAAGCTGCCGAAGCTTATTAGCAGGTCTGAGCATGCAAAGAAGCATGACTTTCAGGCTTGTGAACCAGGTGACCTGAACACTCACAGGGCTTTTCATACGTGAACTGCTACTGTGGCTTAGTATGAAATGTCACTGAATATCCAAAGTGTCTTTACTCTGTCCAGTAGTTTTCCTTGTAAGCCAGTGACATTTAGACAAGTCTTTAAAAGCCAACCTTATTAGGCCAACACTTCCTGCTAAATGCACGACTGAGGGAATGGTGTTCCCTTTTCCGTACTTTGAATTCCTGCCCCCAATTGATGCAACTCTTGAATCCGTGTCTATCAAACACTTCAAACTACAGCTTGTTTTTACATGTACAAGAATGCGGCACAAAGAAAAATGTGGATTTGTTAACCAAAAAGCGTAGCTATTCAGGGAACAACTGAAACAGAGTTAGTAATGATTCAACCCTCCTCTCACACCAGGCTAGGGGGAAAGGGGTTTGAATGTGTTACTTTACCTAGCTGTACCAGAATTTTCCAAATGGGTGCAAGTGCCACTACTGGGTTCCACATTGGCGGTACCCGTAACGCTCCAAAACAGGGTTCTTGAGACAGGGAGGGGCTGAGCTGGACCAGGCCCCATGCTGCGCTTTGAAGTTCTGACAATTGGGACTTCAAAGCACAGAATCACCTGACATCATAGTGACTAACAGGTGGGCAGCCCTACTCTGTTAGATTTGCCCCATCAGGGTTGGAGATCTATATCTTGCTGGTCAGAAAAGGTTCCTGACCCCTGCTTTACAGGATGCCGTAACATACATGGTTGTTTTCAAAGGGGGATCTTCTTATATAATACACATGAGCATACCCACCACCTTCTGTTACTATCAAGAAGCACCAGATTCTACTCTGCCACCACCCAAGTCTTCTCCCATGACTAACAATCTCCTGCATCGTTCAATTACCTGGTGGAAGAGACTGCTTCAGTTTTTCAGCCTTTTCCTTGTCTGTGATGACCAGCGTATACAGATACCGGCTGCAACGGACCTTGAACTTCACGTTATCTTTGTTCTTCTTGATCTTGACGGCTACAATGTAATATCACTGAAGTTAGCAACATACCCTTAATATATTAAGCAATAGGTTAGCCAGAATCAGAGCCTAGTACGATACACTCTCCTTTAAAGACAAACAATTTGATTAAATCCTGCTTTATCCCATAATGAGTACAAGCAAATGACACCTGTACTTCAGTGCCGTTTTGCCATTTATTTTGTTCCTATGCATGTAGTCTCCTGCCACGACAATGCCCCTCACTATATTAATATTGAAACAAACTTGTATCAGGGAAAAGCTTTTCTAAAAAGACACGTACATTAAAAAAAATACACAAAAGCTAACCAAATTCCAGACTGGTGCTATTATTTGATCCATTACGTTTGACTTAATGACAATAATTATTAATGTTTACAGACTTATGCAGCTTTGCTTTGTTATTTCTGTTCTCCAAATCTATTACAAAGAAATAGGTAGCAAGATCAGTGTGAGTAATTGTATAAAGGTGCTTGGATTCTGGCGAGTTGGACATAATGTGAATTTAAGTTTCTTTCTAGAAATGATCTTCATGGAACATTTATAATCAGATTTTGGTGTCCTGAGCGGCTCTTTGGGTACATAAAGTTGTATGTGTTTGAATGCATCACTTCAAAAGATACTAACCAAAACTATCTTGCAAATTGGCTAGGGTGTCAAGTTTCATTAAACTTCCAAAAGCACAAACTGCTTATAATTTTCACATATCTTTCACAAGCAATGATATCTTTTTACCTGACTCTTATGCACTCTGACACCAGAGGGGTTATTTTCAATTCCATGCCGTATATAAAGCGCACCGGAACAGTGAAAAACCCAATTTACATTAATTTCAGAAGTGTGAAAACTGAAGCACATTCATAGTTAATTAGACACTTGTACAACCTTCTTGCTTTGCTCGCAATTCAAGTAATTGTAAGTGCTGCTTTTAAAACCAGAGGTTACACACACTTTAGAAAATTATGCTGTTCTTTAAGCTCGATATGAAAGTCTTTTTGATGCTATTTAGCAAAGAACTACTAAGCATTAGCTTAACAGAATACAAAGCAATGTGCTATGCCATCAAAATGGAACATTTTGCATACATTACTCCTGGGTTTTTTTACGCAAGATGAACAGTTAAAAACTCAATTCTGTGCAAACTATATATATTATCAGGCCACATGATTTCAGAGCCAGCATTAGGAGAAATACAGAGAATCCATAATAGCTACAATAATTTAGAACTTCAATTATCTACTACTGGGGAAAACTTCACAGGTTAAAGGCTCTAGTTTGGATAAACTAGCTAGCATAACAATAGAAGTGTCTGCTGAATCAGGCGAATAGCCCATCTACTCCAGCATCCTGTTCTTACAATGCCAACCAGATGCCTATGGGAGGCCCTCAAGAAGAACCTGGGCACAATAGCATTTCCCTACTTGTGATTTTGAGCAACTGGTATTCAGAGGCATACTGCCTCCAACAGGGGAGAAAGACTACAGCAATCATGGCTAGTCGCTACTGATAAGCCTCCACAAATTTGTCCAATTTCTTTTGAGGCCATCAAAGTTGGTGGCCACCACTATCAAATTCCATAGTCTAACTATGCTCTGTGTGAAGAAGTATTTTTGTTTGCCTGTCCTGAATCTTCAAATGTTCAGCCTCGTTGGATGTTCTGGTATTATTAGAGAAGGAGAAAAACTTTTTCTCTATGTACATTAACAACTTGGAATTTAACTTCCCTTGCTTCAGTTAGTCATGTAGTAGTTAATCCAGACTGTAATCATTCATGGGTATGAATGGGTAAAATAAAATCAATTTATATTGTAAGCTGTTTGTAAGAGTTTGTTTTACGAAACTCAAAATATTGCTAGTATAAAGACACTTCAACTACCATTGGCTTCACCACAAATATCACTGGGGTTTTTTAAAATGCAAAAATGTTATTAATTATGATGTTATAGAAAAGGTTGGTGTTTAAAAACACCTTGGTTTTTCTGCTTCAAAAGAACTGCGCACCTCGAATCCACCATACCCCAATCCTCCTAACACCTCCATATCTGGGGGGTTAGGGGAGCCATGTCAAAACAATTTATGGAACAGATACACCCTCATTTATATTACCAATCATTTTACATTTTAAAAAGTTCAAAGTTATGCTCTATTTTAGGTACTGATTTAGAACTTGAATTACTCTATCCAGAAAGCACATTGAATTGAATGATTCACGATATGACATGACATGACAATAGATTAAAATGTCTGACTTGGTGCAGATTTATGTTAACTTTTCCCCCGCCCTCATTATTACACATTGTAATCTTACGAGTCTGTCTGGTACAGTGGTACCTTGGGTTACAGACGCTTCAGGTTACATACTCCACTAACCCGGAAGTAGTACCTCGGGTTAAGAACTTTGCATCAGGATGGGAACAGAAATTGCGCGGTGGTGGTGGTGCGGGAGGCCCCATTAGCTAAAGTGGTACCTCAGGTTAAAAACTGTTTCAGGTTAAGAACAGAACTCCAGAACGAATAAAGTTCTTAACCCGAGGTACCACTGTATTTTGGTTTGCAGGGCAGCTTACTGGAAGAGGGCAAGTTGCAAAGCACCACACTTGATCCACCGGTGTTTGTACCATCACCTCTTTTGGCAAGCTGCAGCACAGCTAGTAAGCCAGCCTGCTACTGGGAAGCTCCCCATGTTCTTCTCCCTTTGTATATGTGGAACACCCATACTGGGAAATTCTAGGTATATTAGCTGCAGGGTTTAGATGACCCTTGCATTTTAAAGTCCTTATCTAGTAATGGATATGAGTGAGCAGGATGGTGGACTTGGAGCAGTCTTGTGGAATGCTTTCCCCAGGGAAGTTCGCCTGGTGCCTTCATTATACACCTTTAGGCACCAGGCAAAAATACTCCTCTTTAACCAGGCCTTTGGTTGATTGTCATCCAATGCCCCTTTAAAATGTGTTGGGGGGGTTATTGGGCTGTTTGTGTTTCGCTTTTGTTTATGTATTTTGTTTTTATGTTGTAATTTCATCCTGTGAAGCACCCTGAGACCTATGGATATAGGTCAGTATGCTATTATTATTATTATTACTATTATTATTATTAAGTATTGCAACCCTCCACTATACTTGGCATAAAAACCAAACAGCTGCCAGTGGAGAGAACCTTCCTTCTCCATGCCCAACACAGAAAGGGGTGGGAGACTCCCTTTTCTACTAGTCCAACAAGATAGTACTATTTCTTGCAGGCTAGTAACTTTAATCTTTAATCCTGTGTACCATTTCCAAGTCTTGGGCAAGAACAGTACCTTTGCCCAAGACTTGGGAATGGTAGGAAGCAAAGGGCAGAATGTGCAGTGCTGCCACTTCATAATAAATAATGCAACTCCAAGTAATTTGTGCTACATTTTTAGCACCAGCCAAAATAAAGAAGGTATCCAAGACAGAAATACGCTCCAGGAAAAGATCAAGAAACAGGGACAAAACAGTTAAGCCATAAACAGCTACTTACATTTTGCATCCTTCCTTCTGGCTGTCAATAGAAAATCTTTGATCTCTTCGATTTTGCGAGGCTGTAATTAAGTAAATACAACCTTAAATATGAGCTTGATGGCTTGCACAAATATATGGTATCTTCAACTCTTAGTTCTGCAGCCTAGACTCTTTTCCTTTGGCACTTAAACCCATCTCAAACAAATACCCACAATAGATAGCTTGTAAGCGTGCAGAATTTGAGGAACTGCAAACACCAATTGTTTTCTTTTCAAGAGCCTTCCCGATTTCAAGCCTGCAGAAGAACTGGGGAGGAGTAAGGCTCCCTAAAAAGACATCTTCAGAGACCTGCTGGTGGGCACCCGGCTAGCCACTGCTAGGAATAAGATGCTGTGCTAGAGGCACTCTTGGTTTCATTCAAAAGGGCTCCAAAGCCCTTTGAAAAGGGCACTATCTAAAAGCCAGGCTCTATGTTTAGGGAATGGAAGTGAGAGCTGGACCATAAAGAAGGCTGATCGCCAAAGAATCGATGCTTTTGATTTATGATGCTGGGGGAGACTCTTGAGAGTCCCATGGACTGCAAGAAGATCAAACGTATCCATTCTTAGGGAAATCAGCCCTGAGTGCTCACTGGAAGGACAGATCCTGAAGCTGAGGCGCCAATACTTTGGCCACCTAATGAGAAGAAAAGACCCTGATGCTGGGAAAGATTGAGGGCACAAGGAGAAGGGGACGACAGAGGATGAGATGGTTGGACAGTGTTCTTGAAGCTACCAGCCTGAGTTTGACCAAACTGCGGGAGGCAGTGGAAGACAGGAGTGCCTGGCGTGCTCTGGTCCATGGGGTCACAAAGAGTCGGACACGACTAAACAACAACAATGTTTAGGGAAGTTTTTAATGACTGATGTTTTAATGTATTTTTAATATTTTGTTGGAAGCTGCCCGGAGCAGCCAGATGGGCTGGGTATAAATAACAAATTACTGTATTAATTATTATTATTCAAAAAGGGCAACAGCAAACCTGTCCAGGTACCATGACACGCACACTGTGTCCCCTCTTCCGTATTAATGATAGTCATGCTTGCTGCAAAACACACGTGTCCCCCCAACCCTATTAAACAGAGACGTCTCTCTCCAACCGGCTGCCTTCCCCTTAACTCGCGATACCTCCAGGACCTCCGCCCTAATCGTGACGGAAATAGATCCGGGGGTGCGGGGGACGCTTCTCCCGCTTCACTCACCATGGCGACGGCTTCTGGCGACAGTTACCTGCAAGAGAGAAATCAAAATGGCAGAAGCGGCTACTCGGACGCTGCGCGCTAAACAGTCTTGGCCGCCGGATCTCTGCTAAGCCCTCCCCCAATTCCCCCGCCGCCAGGCCCTCAAGACCCCCGTGCCCCATCATCACCCTCTTACCGGCTCCCCAAATCTAGCTTTACCGCGGATGGCGCCGGATCTCAAACGCCTCTTACCGAGATGCTGAACTTCTCGGCTGCAGCACCCGAGAGAGAAAGAGCAAGCACTTCCGCATCCGGGTAATTGAACCCGGCTTACGTGAGGTGGGTGGGCTGGGCTACGGAAACAGAATAGGGTCAGAATTGTTAAAGGAGGGCAAAGCTGGCTCAGACCGCGCTGGTTTTTTTTTAAGAATGGGAGTCCTGAGGATTCCAATGGCAACAGCAAACCACGGTTCTTTGGCTCGATGGGGTGTTTGGTTATGTCCGCTGGTGGAGGAGCAGGGACGAAGCCCTGCCGCTTATTCCACAGCAGCAGGGCCGCTCTTGGGCCGCTGTTTGCCAGCCCTCTGCATCCCAAGCAATTGGCTTTTCTCCACCCAATTAGCCGAGCAGAGGGGGAGGCATCCAAAGTGAGCCCCCAGCCCCCATCAGCTCCAGCTGTTTGGAGTCTAGCAACATCTGGAGGGCATGGTTGAGGTGATGCTGGAACCAGGAACTTCCCAGTTCACATTTTTAGGCTATGCACGCGCATCTGTTTGCTCAACGTCCAGGGAAGCAGTGTGTACACGACATTAGCCACAATCCACACCTATCCTGTTGTTTCTTCTTGTTCCTTGTCAAATACTTTGTGTTTTTGATGTATTTTACCTTCAAGCCCGCTTTTGGTCCGAATTGAGAGAAAGAACAACCTAGATGCATTTTAAGCCGGTAATGTGTACATAGCTTTAACAAACACATCATGCCAGCTTTCCCTAAAATAGGTCCTGATACGGCTCTAATCATTGGGAAAACTTATTTAGGGCAATATGCATGGTCTGTCGTCCTCTCTCCCTTCAATACTCATAAACCTGTAAAGCAGGTTGTGCTGAAAGAACCAAAGCCAAAACCATAATCATCCAGGGAGGATTTGAACCCATGGCCCATCACACTAGCCACTACAACACCTTAGCTCTCAACAATAGCTGTGTTTCGAGTGACCCATAATGATAATAATAACTTGTATTTGTATCCCGCCCTCCCCGGCCAAAGTCAGGCTCAGAGCAGCTAACATCATATAAATCAGACAATATGCATAATGCAACATACAAATAAAATAACATTCAACATTCATTAAAATAATATAGAATATTAAATATCAGCATTTCAAGATTAAACAGAAATCCATTCTTAACAGTTAATGGGACACCTCAAAAAGTTGCATCCAGACAGTATGGCAGGGACCCAGATGGAGATTGTGGTGGTGATAGGGCACTTCATTTATGCAGCAGAGCAGAAAGAGGAGTGCAACTAATGTGTTGTTGTTGTTTAGTCATTTACTCATGTCCGACTCTTCGTGACCCCATGGACCAGAGCACGCCAGGCACTCCTGTCTAATGTGTAGCCCTATTCCATTTTAGAAGTTTATGTAATAACACAAGAAAGGCACAAGAGGGCAGTTCGATTACAATTTTTAAATAAACTGGGAAAATTAAAAAGCAAACAAACACACCCAGCAGTGAAAGTATTCATACCTGTAGAGTAGTTGACCCTGTCTGCACAGAAAACGGTTCATTCTGTTAGCTACCTATTAGGAACATAAGAAGTTACCTTGTACCTTGTCAGATGCTTAGTCACCCACCTCAGTTTTGTAAACACTGGTAGGGCAGTGGCTCTCTGTCAGGAATCCCTAGCGTCTCCCTATCCGGAGATGCCAGGAATTTAACGTGCGACTTTTTGCATGCAGAGCACAGCTATGGCCCTCTCTCTCACTAGGCATCAGGAACATTCTGTGTCCACAAATGGACAGGGGCATAGCTGGCATTTTATGGAATGAAAGCCTCAAACCTATTATGCAGGAGTAAGCCTCCTTGAACTTTGAGCTAGTGCACTGTAAAATCATTTGCAAAAGGCACTGAGAGACATATGCTACATATAAATGACAGCTTACCCTGGCTCCTGTGCACTCCCACCACTGGTGTTTGAAGCCAGGTATGTGTGACATTATGGGACGCGGGTGGCGCTGTGGGTTAAACCAGAGAGCCTAGGACTTGCCGATCAGAAGGTTGGCGGTTTGAATCCCCGCGAAGGGGTGAGCTCCCGTTGCTCGGTCCCTGCTCCTGCCAACCTAGCAGTTTGAAAGCATGTCAAAGTGCAAGTAGATAAATAGGTACCGCTCCAGTGGGAAGGTAAACGGCGTTTCCGTGCGCTGCTCTGGTTCGCCAGAAGCGGCTTAGTCATGCTGGCCACATGACCCGGAAGCTGTACGCCGGCTCCCTTGGCCAATAAAGTGAGATGAGTGCCGCAACCCCAGAGTCGGCCACGACTGGACCTAATGGTCAGGGATCCCTTTACCTTTACCTTTACATGTGACATTAGTCACCATCTGTAGGCACACCGTAGCTTCTTGAGAATGTGACTTGCATGTTTGCAGCAGGGAGGAAATGACCTTATGTTTCAGACTGCTTATGTGTGCGCAACCATAGACATAACGTTGGTGTCAGACAGTCCTTCCTTGGCAACTCTCTGGCTATGATACGGTCTCAGTAGGTTCACTGGTACAAACAATTATCTGCTTGAAAGAGAAAATGGTTCCAATTTATTGCAACAGGAGAAGGAGGAACTGCTAGAATTCAGGATCCAACATACACAAACCAACACACAATCCTATCTGTGGTCCAACCACCAGAGTTTCTACTGGACTGCAGTGTAGATGGTGTTATAAGAAACTGTTATAAGAAAAAACGGCTCCTTTTCCCTTATGGGGTATCCAAGAGCCCATATAAAGTCCTTAAGTAGGTACCTTATTGGAAGGAGAAAATAACAGAGGCCAACCAGAGAATATTGAGAAGCAAAGCAGCTGGTAAGCCTGATCTTTATTAACTGTTGCAACAGGGTGCTCACTGCCACACACAGAGAGGGAGGAGAGGAACCCAGAACAATGGTGTGCAAGCCTTTATATAGATTTTTGAAATTGCCCACCCTGTAGCTCAACCTCCCCCCCCCCAACATCATACATACATCACAGAAAGAGACAGTCTCCAGCAGAAATCCTCTCTGCCAGGATACTTGATAATGGCCACTGATTGCATTACCTGGGCAGCCTGGCTATTCTTTTGTGATGGTAAATACTTTAATTCCTGAATCCAGGTCACAGACTCACCCTATTCATACACACATATGCCCTTAAGACAAATAAGCAAAAAACAATGGAGAGGCTTTCCCATTTCCTTCCTCCTTGCAGAGAAATATTTGAGGTCACTGGGAGAGTCAAAATGGTTTGGGAGAGTCAAGATGACTTCAGGATTGTTCTCCTGTACTATTTCAGACACATGGTTTATATATTTATGTATGTGTTTGCCTCGTACATTTAAGAACGCTTATTTTATATTTGGGACCTTAGAATTCTTATAACATTGGTCTTGGGAAACAGGAGGGGGCGGAGCTGGGAGTGGGACCCACTGGTAGCATGGGGACCAAAAATCAAATCAAATCTGGGGTCATTCCTGAAAGCTGTTCTTGGCAAAGCAATGTTGAAATACTGACTTTGCTGTGATTATACAGGCTCAAAAGCAGCTTGTGCCCATATAAACAGCTGCACAGCATCTCACCCATGACAATCTGCATAGCTTCTTCCAAAGGAGGAGTGGTAAAATGTATGCGCAGTACTCTCTGGCTGCATAAAAGCGAGCAATTATAATAATTTATTTGTACCCCACCCATCTGGCTGGGCCTCCCCAGCCACTCTGGGTGGCTTCCAACAAAGATTAAAAATACATTAAAGTATCACAACAAAGATTAAAAATACATTAAAGTGTCACAACATAGATTAAAAATACATTAAAGTGTCACACATTAAAAACTTCCCTGAACAGGGCTGCCTTCAGATGTCTTCTAAATGTTAGGTAGTTGTTTATCCACAGGGTGGGCGCCACTACCGAGAAGGCCCTCTGCCTGGCTCCCTGTAGCTTTGCTTCTTGCAATGAGGGAACCGCCAGAAGGCCCTCGGCACTGGACCTCAGCGTCCGGGCAGAACGATGGGGGTGGAGACGATCCTTCAGGTATACTGGGCCGAGGCTGTTTAGGGCTTTAAAGGTCAGCACCAACACTTTGAATTGTGTTCAGAAACATACTGGGAGCCAATGAAGGTCTTTCAAGACCGGTGTTATAGTTCAGTAGTAGTTCAACAACCTAATGCTTAACCAGAAATGGAGGAAGCCTGGAAGAAAAAAAGAGGTACAAAGCTTCAAAAGGGCTTTGTGCAACATTGATTGGACATTTTTTCACTTTCGCTGTGGGCTACATATGTTGATCTCATTGATTCCCTGGTCTGTTGTTTGGACCAGTACGAACCAACATGGGCATTATTATAGTTCCTGTGTGGGTATCAAGTACCACCTGAAAATAAGTGCAGCTACAAGTGGGCTAGAAAGCCTGTGGCCCGCCAGATGTTGTTGGACTCCAACTCCCATCAGCCTCAGTCAGTATAGCCAATGGCTAGGGATCATGGGAGTTGGAGTCCAACAGTGACGTACTGCAGGTTCCTCACCTCTGAGCAAGAAGCGCCTGTTTTGTGCAATTGGAGCACATGAATTTTGACCTAGAGGGTATCAGAGGCAGGAGGCACGCCATCACTTGCAACCTTTAAAGTGGAGATTAATCTTCTTTTTAAAAATACTAATCTTAATGGGATCTAAATGGGAACTGTTCCTCCAAGTTCTGAATAGGGGACAGCAAAGATATCTCTTGTCTCCCAAGACTCCAAAGCTCCGAACCACCCATGCCATATCTGCCGTGAGAAAGGAAATGAGGACATTTCCGCGCATCTAGGGAAATGATTTTGGAGCAGGGAAGCATCCATCTTCCGTCTAAGAGAGAGATGGCATCTCCCAATCTATCAAAAATGTGACGGAGAAAGGGAACATTAGCTACAGAGAAGTGTACCAGCCCTTCAGAGAGTAAGGGACAAGGGGGCAGCCTATCGGCTTGTATATATCTCACATTCTGCGGCGGGAGAGAGGAAATCGATAGAGCTGTCAGGCCATTAATGCATTCAGTATTGCAAACTCTCCAATCATGGCAATCACCAGATGGATGTTTCAAATTAAAAAAGA